AGCAGATGCTGCCAGACCTGCTGAGCTTTTCCAGCAACTTTGTTTTTGTTTCTCAAATACAAGCCTCCTTAAACACATCCCTGCTGACTATCCATGATTAATCCTTGTCTCTCCAAGCGTGGCTATGTTCCACCCCTCAGAATTCATCTCTACCGTCACGATTAGACTGACTGGTCTGTAATTTCCTGGTCTATCCCTTCCTCCCTTTTTTAATATTGGGACAATAGTAACAGTTCTGTAGTCCTCTGGAACTGTGCCTGTGGCCAGAGAGAATTTGCAAACCATTAGTGTTCGTGATATCTCTTCCTGTGCTTCCGTCAACAACTTGGGATATTTCTCATCCAGGTCTGCAGATTCATCTGTTTTTTTAAGGCTGTTAAACCTGCTAGTACCTCCTCTTCCTCTTTGTTAAATTCTTCTAATATTTGCATCTTCTACCCTGATGTCTATGCCTGATGTGTCCTTTTCCATTGTGAAGACCAACGCAAAGTATTCATTGAGTACTGTGTCCACATCTTCTGAGTCCAAAAACACATTAGCTATATGGTTTGTAATCGGCGCTATTTTTTCCATAGTTCTTTCTCTCACCACCACCCCCCACCCACCCACTCATCATACATTAAAAAAAATCCTTTGTGTTTTCCTTTTTCTATTAGCCAGTACTTTCTCATACATTCTCTTTGCTTTCCTAATTTCCTTTTTAAGTTTCCTGTTGACAGTGAGGGTTTCCAGTCTTGGTCCCACTCTTTGTTATTACAGGAACATATTTGCAGTAATTCTTGCAATGTCCTCCTTGAATACCACCAAGGTGGTCTCCACCCCCCCCCATCCCCCCACCCCCCAAGAAAAAAATTGGATCTGATGTTGTCCTCAACCACCCCTTTCCTCAGGTGGCTGAAGGCTGCACTAGCACACTTGAGGTGGTGCTGGATCTCTTCTTCAATAGCTGCTATTGCCGACAGGACAATCCCGAGGTATTGGAAGTGGTCAACGCTCTCTAAGGCCTTCCTGTCGACCTTAATGATAGGGGGTTCACTTCACAATGCTAGGAAAGGCTGGTGGAGGCCTTTCGTCTTGCGGATATTCAGGGTGAGACGCAAGCTCTCACATGCCTCCATAAAGGTGCTGATGATGGTCTGGAGTACATCCCGGAGACTGCATTTACACAAATATCATTTCCCATTCGGACCGGTGTCAAGCAGGATTGCGTCACTGACCCAAAACTGCTCTCGAACTACCTCACTGCATTGCTTCACCTCACCGCTGACAAGCTCCCCGTTGGAGTGGAACTAACTTACAGAACCTGCGGGAAATGATTTAACTTCCACTGCCTTCAAGCTAAAACCAAAGTCACCCAGCCAGTATCCTGGATAATATTTGAGTGGCTAAGATCTCTTACTGTTACTGCCTTATTATTACACTTCTGTGAAATTTTATTACATACTTGATCCTCCATCTCCCCATGACTGTTTGGGGATCTATAGTAAACATCCAACAGTGATTCCCGCTTTTGTGATCTTTGATCCTATGCAGATGATCTATTTGATGATCCTTTCAAGAAATCACTGCTGTAGTTGATTCCTTGATCAATATTATGGCCCCCTCATGTCTTCTATTTGACACTCTCATCTGAATACCCTGAAACCAAGAATGTTGAGCTGCCAATCCTGTCCGTCTTTAGCCAAATCTCATTCATAACTATCATATCATACTCACTTTCTGTGCCCTCAGCTTGTCTGTCTTATTCCTCAGGCACCTTGCATTAAAATATATTCCATATATTTGTTAAACTCCCATCTTTCTTACCTAGTTTGTATTTCCTCTGCCTTTCAGACTCACTTGTTTGTATTTTAACAAATAATTCCATCTTAATGGCTTTTGATCTGTTGGGATCCCAGTCCCCCTGCCAATCTAGTTTAAATCCACAGCAACAGTTTTAGCAAACCTCCCTGCGAGGATGTTGGTCATGTTCCTGTTCAGATGTAACTCATCCAACTTGTACAGTTCCCAATCCCTCTGAAAACAGCCCTAGCACCTCCAGGGATATAAAGCTACCTCTCTCCTGCACCGTCTGCCTAGCCACACATTTATCTGCTCACTATTGCATGGCAACGGAAATAATCCAGAGATTACTAGCCTTGAGGAGCTGCTTTTTGATTTCTTACCTAAAAGTTTTTTTGCAGAACCTCGTTTATCTTTGACCGAGCGTCATTTAAATATATTCCATATGCTGCCAATGTGGATCATGAACACTGCCTGTTCACCCTTCCTCTTCAGAATGCCCTGCAACCATTCCATCACATCCTTAACCCTGGCACCCGTGAAGTAATATTACCATATTAGAGTCATGCCTTCAGCCACAAAAATGCCTGTCTACTCTCCTCGCTAACAAATATGCTACCACACTTCTTCCTCTCTCTAAAGCTCCAAAACGCTGAGCTTGAGTTGCTCCAGCTGAAGGCATCACCTGCATACATGATTATTCAGACTGCCAGGACAATCTAGGATTTCCCAGTTAATGCAAGATGTGTAAATCACGGGCCTATGCTCCCAAACATACTTTAACTAAATAGAAATGGATCCTTATTTCTATTTACACTTACTCCTATAAAAATCTTATTTTTGGTTGTGTCTGGAGTTCCACTTAGGGGCCTTACCTTGCCCACTCCTTTCAGTGATGCTGAGTGCCTTTCAGAGAGTCCTCTCAGTGAGGTATCTCTCTCATCATACAAGGATCAAATCTGTGATTCAGCCTGGTTTGTCAGACTAGTGAGTTATTGGTTTGTGATGGTTATGAAACTAGTGCCAAGCAGTGATCATTTTGAAAAAGAGAGAATCTAATCAGCTTACCATGACACTATTGTATTGCCATCCCTGAATTGTCTGTATGCCGAGGTTTCAAAGATTTAACTGAACTCAACCAGTCTCATAAATACTCTGGCTGCAAGAGCAGGTCAGAGGCTGGGAATTCTGCAGCAAGTCAATCCGAAACTTTAACTCTGATTTCTGTCCACAGATGCCACCAGATGTGCTGAGCTTTTCCAGCAATTTCTGTTTTTGTTTTTGATCTATAGCATCTGCAGTTCTTTCGGCTTGTATTTGCTTCTCTATTATTAGGCTTACAAATATTAACGATAGTTCTATTGAATTTTCAATTTTTTTGCTTTTGTAATTTCTAACTTAATTAGTTAGAAGAATTCTGACTAGAATTTCATCTCTTTGTTTACAGACAGCTTCAAATATGCCAGATAGTCCTCCTGCTATTCCACCTCGGTTGCCTCGGGTTCCTGGATTACATGTTCTCTCAGATGGTCTACTGCACAGTCCTCCTCCACCTCCTCCAAGGGATCCATTGCCTGATACACCTCCACCCATACCACTAAGGCCTCCTGAGCACTTCATTAATGATCCTTTCAATATCCAGCCAGCACCAAAGAGCCACCTTCATCGAGATCAAGATTGGTACAGAGATTCAGGCCCAAACTTCATTTCCCCCAGGACTCCTCCTCCAACACGATCTCCCATGACTAAACGACGTTCAAACCACAATAACCCTATTTATTCCTCTGCTCCTCCTATACCTCCCAGACAGAACTCTAGTCCACAGCTGCCAAAACTTCCGCCAAAGACTTACAAACGAGAATTGTCGCATCCTCCTTTGCACAGGGATGGACTGCCATTGTTGGAAAATGCAGAAATTCGACACTTACACTAAATTTGAAGCACTGTAGGAAATCGGGCATCTGTATTAAGGCACTGGGGCAAGAAAATGTATTGCTGTCTTTAACTTTTGTCATCTTGTTAATAACTGTGCATTGCGAAGATTGTGCACTTGAGAAACTGATATTGGAGTAAAACTGAATCTTTGTGTCTCTTTCATTCAGACTGCAGGATGTTATTGTGATCTCCCCTCAGGTGATGAGTAGCATTTTCTTTCCTCAGACTTACAGTGCCAACATAATTACCTTGAAGTGTAACACAAGTTTGCATTTGCACTGTACAAATGAATTAACTTATTTGAACCAATCATTGCACTGAGCCAACAAGATGAATCCTTGAGACGTATTTGAGCTCTAGTGGCCTTGTCAAGTGATGGAATTTCACAGACATCAGGAAGGATATTATAATGCTGATCCTGAGTGACTTTTCATTTTGTTAGAATGAGCTTTATAGATCTTTTACTGAAATCCAATATTTGATGCCGATCACCTAAGGACATACTTTCTGAAATGTGGCGCTTTATATACAACTTGTTTCTGTAATCAAGTTCTATTGTTGACTGCTTCAAATGTGAAAAGAAATTGTAACACTAATTAGAATTTTTGAATGGAAAAAGCTGTCTAACCTGCATCAGTATGTAAGATGATGTAGTCAGTTTGTACACAAAAAAGCAGTTATAACTCAAGGACAGGATTTCTCTCAATATTTCTTGTGAGCATGCATCTTTTCTCAGATGTGCCTTTTGATTTCATTTGTAAACAAAATTATCTTCAATTATCAGGTCACCTAAGAACACAAAAATGAGAACAAAAGTGATTGTGAATGTACAATTTTTTTTATTGCATACAGGCAGATAATGACATCTGTTTTATATAGACTGAACTGAGTAATATAAACAGTCTGCTATCTGTATGTTCCATCAAAATCTTAACTTGATCAAGAACAAACAAACCAAAATCCTTCTAATGCAAACCACAGTACTAAACTGGCTCTGCTGTAGCATTTTATTAAATCTTCTGTAGACTTCTTTCAGTATTGTATTTGAACCAAAATACACTTCAAACTTTACTAAAAATAAATTAAATATAGTAGCCATGACCTAAAATTGCCTCCTTGCCATAACTGGTGGTGTATGAAAAGGTGAAGAATTTGTTGTTTACCAGTAGTGTTGTAGCTGCTTTCCTGAAGTGATTTATGATGGTCTTTTCATTTAATGTAATGTGGCCTTCCATTTGTACTTTGTATCGGTGTCCTTAATAAGATCAATAAATTGTCCAGTCTTAATTTTTACTTAAGCATTCAAAATTGCCTGTGTCACTTTAACAAAAATCTTTTGAATGTATATGAATTTCTAAACCATTAATGTTTTTAAATATTTGCCTGAAATTACTTTTTATGTATATCTGGGCGACACGGTTGTTTCTCCTGAAATATTGCTATCGGTATTCTTGCTGTTTTGTAAATTGAATTTGTTTGCAAAAGATTCAACTGGAAGCCTTAAAACTCTTTGAATAAGTCTGCGGCCAACCAGAATTGTTGTTTGTCGTTATTTGGTTTTCAGCTTCAAAATACGCACACTGCTTAGATCTGAAGGACTGTATTCAAGCATCTCCAGACGCAAGATAGAAGCTGAAAATGAATGTTAAAATTAATCAGTATGAAAGGTGATTTCAGATAGAAAATGGATAAAGATTTTTTTCTATCGAGATCAGAACCAAGATGAGAACTACTTTGCAAAGAAGGGAAGTATATATCTAGAATACAGGATTAAAAGGGAACATGGCTACAAAACTAACTCTTCAATTATGGTTTAACATTAAATAAACTGACATCCTGCTACAGATGCATGCTTTCATCTTTGTACAAGAGTCAAACCTTATGAAGATTTTCATGGTGAGAGATACAAATTGTAAAATTTCCTTTAAAAGGGTTTCCAGAGAAGAATTGGTAGGCCTTGACATTTTGGGTGACATACTGAGCCCTCACCTAGATGAATGACTGAAACAGTTAACACCTGGCTATACATAGGGAAAATGGAAAAATTTGTGAGATTTTGCGTTTGATTGTTGAGGCTATTGTGTTTGTAATTGGTCACTTAACGTTCTTGTTGCTGAGGGGTGGACTGTGCAGAACAGATGGCATGGTGTTTCTTGGAGAAGGTGGATGTCATTCATAAGGCTGCTATCTTGGGGCACAGTGTGGCGTTAATAATGTCCGTAGTCTTATTGATGTATCTTGTATGCCAGTGCATGATTGATGAGATGAATCTGGACCGTTGAATGTAGTAGTGATTTGATGAACTTTGATTGGTTCTATTTACTATTTGAAACAGATGTTTCTCAAGTTTACCATGTGATTATGAATTATGATGAAAAATTGTGTAAACTTGTCTACATTGGGGAAACAGTGCACAACCTACATAGTAGATTTAGAATCATAGAGCTGTACAGGATGGAAACAGAACCTTTGGTCCAACTTGTCCATGCCAACTAGATATCCTAAATAAATCTAGTCCCATTTGGCCCATATCCCTCTTAAACCCTTATATACCAATCCATTTTAAATGTTGTAATTGTACCAGCCTCCATCACTTCCTCTGGTAGCTCATTCCATCCTCGCACCACCCTCTGCGTGAAAAAGTTCATGAACAGCAGCTAGTATTATAAATGCATTTGACTTGTAAATCCTTCAGTGTAGTACAACATTGCAAAATGCTTCAGTAATTCATTTTCATATATGACACCAAATTAGAACTTCATAGAATCCCTACAGTGTGGGAACAAGCCTTTCAGCCTCAAGTCCCTCTGAAGAGCATCCCACCTAGACCCATTCCCCATGTCTAACCCAAACGTCCCTGGGCACTATAGCATTGGCAATCCACCTACCCTGCACATCTTTGGACTGCAGGAGGAACCCAGAGCACGCAGAGGAAACCTACGCAGGCACAGGGAGAATGTGCAAACTCCACACACATAGTCACCCAAAGGTGGAATTGAACCCGGGTCCCTGGCACTGAGAGGCAGCAGTGCTAACCACTGAGCTACCATGCTCTTAGTTAGATGGCAAGTCTGATGACAAAATCTTTGGTCAAAGAGAGAGAACTTGGTGAGCATTCAAGAAACGTAGATGTTTATAGATCAATTTCTACAATTTTGAGCCTAGACAAGATGTGCAAGATGCCAGAATTGGACAAGTGCAAAGATTTAATGGTTTGTAGGCTGAAAGAAATTGTAGAAATTGGAGTGAAACCATTTGAAAATGAGGGTGAGAATCTTAAAATTGAGCTACTACACTCAATGTAGGCCAGTGAGTACATGGATGATGGCTTAATGGAATTTTGTGAGAGTAAGGAAGCGGTGGTACATAGATTGAGCTCATCTTAACAGAGACTGAAAGGTGAGAACCTGGCTAGAATGGTAGAATCCAAAATTCAGAACAGTGTGAATGAAAGTTCATTAGCAGAAAAGCTGGGGTAAAGAATGGAGATACATGTAAAACCTGGTGATTAAAAATATCACTGGTTTTAAAGTGCTTCTGTTTTGCTCAGGAATTTACATCAAACATTGTAACTCTGCAGTAATGGACTGAATTGTCACAGTAACTCCAAAGCTGAAGTTTTGTTTGAAACAGTAAATTGGGCCTGACTATTTATCAGCTGAATTTTAATGGAATTGTGCTGTGCAAATATCATACTGTTAATTATATGACATACAAGTGAACAGAGCATAAACCAGACTGAGGCCAGAGTTCATTAACAGCAAGCATTCAGCCTCCTTCCGAGGAGACCTAAGCAAGTTTTAATGAGTTCATTGATGAAACCGATGTGGAAAATGACATATTTGTGATGTTTGCCAAACATCAAAGAGTGTAAATGCCTCGCTTCTGGGAAGACTATAAAAAAGGTCCTTGCCTGACAGCAAAAATTAGCTGACTCTGGGAAAGGGTCATTTGATCAATACCGAAAAGTTGAGACAGAGCAGGCTGATCACCTGTTCTGGTCTGATCTTCAGACAACCCAACGTTAAAGGGTTCCTTTTGTGATTATAAGCATAGTTTGGGTAAGACAGTTGGAGTATTTTTATGTAGTATAGTTTGCTTTAATAAAGAAAATTGGGCATATTCTGCCTTAGAGGTACTGATATTCAGAGTAAACCTGACAGACCAGGGAATGTGGGATTAGAAGTGTACAGCATTCAGTGCAGCTCGTGCATGAGATTAGTTGCTAACGTGTAATATACTTGTTCAATACATAAGCCTATTCTAGTTAACTGGTTTCTTTTACCACAGTTGATCAAGCAGTTCTGTAAAGAGGATATTGGCAGCAAACCTGACTCCTAGCCTACGCTACTGCAAGGCAAGGTGCATTTTTTAAATTTCAAAAAATATACTTTTTTCATTAAAAAAATCTTTATATACATATATATACACACACGCACACTTTCAAACACAGTTCTGTACAGTTTTTGAGGAAACAAACAAACTTTGGAGTTTGACTCCATCCAAAGGTATCTCTTTCTTGTACAAGACTATATTTACATGCATACTTAGTTTAACTGGAATTGCAGACAGTAAGGACTGCAGATGCTGGAAGCCAGTCAATAGATATGAAGCTGGAAAGCACAGCAGGTCAGTCTGCATCCAAAGTGCAGAAAAGTCAACGTCTCAGGTCAAAGGGTCTTTTTGGCGAGCAAAACATAAATATTCTGCGAAGCGATCACCCAGTCTACATTTTGTTTCCCCAATGTAGAGGAGACCACATTGTGAGCAGCGAATGCAGTAGACTAGATTCCGGGAAGTGCAGGTGAAGTGTTGCTTCACCAGGAAGGTATGTTTGGGACCTTGGATACTGGGGAGGGAGGCAGTAAATGGGCACGTGTTACACCTTCACCGGTTGCAGGGGAAAGTGCCGTAGGGCTGCGGGGGGTGGGGGGAAGTTGGGATGGAGGAAGTGTGGACCAGGGTGTCCTGGAGGGAACAGTCCCTGCGGAAGGTGGACAAGGAAGGGGAGGGGAGTATGTATCAGGCATCTTGATGGAGGTGGTGGAAATAGCGTCTTTTGATCTTCTGGATGTGGATGCTGGTGGGATGGTAGGTAAGGATAAGGGGAACCCTGTCGCTGTTGCGGGAGGGAAGAGAAGGGGTGAGGGCGGAAGTGCGAGAGATGGGTAGGATGCGGTTGAGGGGCCTGTTGACAACGGTGCTGGGGCATCCTCGGTTGAGGAAGAAGGTGGACATTTTGGAGGCTCCCTTGTTGAAGTTTGCCTCATCTGAACATATACACAACGGAGACGGAGGAACTGAGAGAATGGAATGGAGTCTTTACAGGAGGCAGGGTGTGAGGATGTATAGTCCAGGTAGCTGAGAGTCAGTGGGTTTATAGTGAATATTAGTGGCCAGTCTATCCCCAGAAATGGAAACAGAGATGTCAAGGAAGGGAAGGGAGGAGTCAGCAATAGACCAGGGGAAAGTGAGGGCAGGGTGGAAATTGGAGGCAAAATTGATGAACATTTCCAATTCTGGACGAGAGAGGGAAGCAGCACTGATGATAGCATTGATGTATTGGAGAAAGAGTTGTGGGTGGGAGCTGGAATAGGACTGGAACAAGGAATGTTCCGCGTACCCCATGAAGAGACAGGCATAACTAGGGCCCATGTGGGTACCCATGGCCACCCCTCTGACCAGAAGAAAATGAGAGGAGTTAAAAGAGAAGTTGTTGAGGGTGAGGACGAGCTCGGCCAAGCAGAGGAGGGTAGTGGTGGGTGGGGATGGTTCAGGTCCTTGGTCCAAGAAGAAGCGGAGAGCCCTAAAACCCTCCTGGTGGGGAATGGACATGTAAAGGGATTGCACATCCATGGTAAAGAGGAGGCGGCTGGAACCTGCAAACTGGAAGTTTTGAAACTGGCGTAAGGCATCAGAGGAATCATGGATGTACATGGGCAAGGATTGGACCGGGGAGAGAAGACTAAGTCAAGGTAGGAAAAGATGAGTTCTGTGGGGGAGGAGCAGGCAAAAACAAATGGGTTTGCCCGGACAGTGCTGTTTGTGGTTTTTTTGGGAGGAAGTAGAAGCAAGCTGTGCGGGGTTGGGGGGCTATCAGCTTAGAAGCAGAGGTGGGGGAGATCACCGGATGAAATGAGATCAGTTACCATAGTAGATACAATGGCATGATGCATCATGGTGGGGGTCATGGTCCAGGGGAAGACAGGAGGAGGTATCTGAGAGCTGGCGCTTAGCCTCTGCAATGTAGAGGTCAGTATGCCAGACTACAATAGCGCCAGACTACAATAGCACCACCCTTATCGGCAGGCTTGATAACAAAGTTAGGGTTAGATCTGAGTGCACGGAGTGTAGTCAGTCTGGAGGGAGATAGGTTGGGTTTGGTGAGGGGGGGGACAGAGAAATTGAGGCGACTAATATCATGTTGACAGTTCTCAATGAACAGATCGAGTGCAGGTAAAAGGCCGGAGGGAGGGGTCCAGGTGGAGGGACAGAGTTGGAACTGGGCAAAGGGGTTTGTGGGACAGAGAGAGGACTCTTGTCCAAAAAATGAGCACAGAAGCGAAGACGGCGGAAGAAGAGTTTGGCATCATGTTGTACCTGAAATGTGTTAAGGTGGGGACGCAGAAAAATAAAGCTGAGGCCTTTGTTGAGTACAGAACGTTCAGCATCAGAGACCGGAAGGTTAGGAAGGAATGACAGGAGGTAGGGTTGGTGGAAGGGATGGTGTCAGTGGGAAGGGGAGGACAGGAAAGTTCCAGCGGGCCATGGGTATCTTTTGAGTTGTTGCATCTTGTGGGCCTTGATGCCTGGATGGAAAATATTCTTGTTCTGTTCTGAGGAAGGGTCACCGGACCTGAAACGTTAACTCTGTTTTTCCTTCACAGATGCTGCCACACCTGCTGAGCTTTTCCAACAACTTTGTTTTTGTTCTTGTTAGCACGGCATCAGCAAAGGGCTGCGCTTTATTCCTCTGCCCCCCACACCCTCCCCCCTCCTATTTTCTGTATTTAAACTGACGTTTTTCCAGCCTCCATCAGTTCTAAGGGGCACTAGACCCGAAACGCCATGCTGCCAAACCTGCTGAGCTTTTCCAGCAACTTCTGTTTTTGACTCCCACAACTACCTTAGCTACAGCTGCTTTCACCCACCCTCCTGCAAAAATACTATCCGATACTCCCAATTCCTCCGCCGTATCTGCTGCCAGGATGAAGCGTCCCACTCCAGAACATCCCAGGTATCCTCCTTAGATAACAAGGTGTAGAGCTGGATGAACACAGCAGGCCGAGCAGGAAAACTGACGTTTCGGGTCTGGACCCTTCTTCAGATATCCTCCTACTTCAGGGACGGTAGCCTGACGAATAACAGCACCTCCTGGAGACCAGCGTCTGACTGACGTTGTCAACCAAGCGTCCCATTGGTCCAGATTGAGCCAATGGCTCGCGCAGGCTGTCGAGCGCCCCGTCCGTTTGAATATAAGCGGCGCGGCGATTGGCTGCAGACTCTCCACTCCACTTTGTCCCCATCCTCCCCAACCCAATCCGGATCTTTCTGCTTCTTCCCGGCAGTGCTCACTACGCATGCTCCCAGTGTCGGTGAACACACAGGTCTTGCGGGGCTCATGGCTGCTGTCGAGCCTGGATATTTTGTGCGGCCGGTTAAGCTGCGATCCGGTGCCGAGCTCCGCATTAAGCAGTGTGACGCCGGCGATGTGGGCTGTGTGGTGTGGGACGCGGCACTGGTGCTGGCCAAGTACCTGGAGACCAACTCCTTCTACCGGGGGGGGCTTCACACCTTTACCGGGAGGAGCGTGGTGGAGCTGGGCTCAGGCACCGGACTAGTGGGGCTGATGGCTTCCGTTCTGGGGTAAAGCTCGACTCTGAACTGGTTTTTCGTTCGTCAGGAAGCGGGAGAAAGAAATCAAATGCTGGGTTAGAGTTTTGGTGCCTTCAGAATTCTGCACGCATCCCTTCATAAACGTTTGTAGACTGGTGATGTCTAAATTTCCTGAAAGAAACCAAACGGACAGTATTAATCTTTACGCTGTATAGGAGCCAAATTCCATGTAACATTTATAGGTTAATCCTAATCCCTTATTATTATTCCCTTATAGTTTATCGCCTTAAAGATCTTTTATCAGGGCACCCCTTTGCTACAGAAAAGTGCCCTCCCCAATTCAATAGTACTGGAAACGGTCCTTGTGGATTTTATGGATATACATGTAATATCAGAGCAAGGCTATTTCCAAAATTGAAACCAGTTCCAAGTTGTAATCACCCTCTGAAGAACGTGTGGGAATGGATATTTTATTGTTATATTTTGTGCGGCTGGTAGAGCTGCGGTCCGGTACCGAACTCCGTATCAAGGAACAAGGTGTAGAGCTGGATGAACACAGCAGGCCAGGCAGCATCATAGGAGCAGGAAGGCTGACGTTTCGGGCCTAGACCCTTCATCAGTCAGCCTTCCTGCTCCTATGATGCTGCTTGGCCTGCTGTGTTCATCCAGCTGTACACCTTGTTGTCTCAGATTCTCCAGCATCTGCAGTTCCTACTATCTCCGTATCAAGCAATGTGTTATAAGTTGGGAGTTGTTACTGTAGGTAACTTGCATAAAACAAACAACTACACAGAGGGTGGTTTGCGTGTGGAATGAGCTTCCCGAGGAAGTAATGGATGCAGGTACAGTTGCAATGTTTAAAACACATTTGGATAAGTACATGAATAGAAAAAGTTTTTGGAGGGATATGTAACAAAAACAAAGTTGCTGAAAAAGCTCAGCAGATCTGACAGCATCTATGAGGGGAAAAAAAAATCAGAGTTGATGTTTCGGTGACCCCTCCTCAGGGATATAGGCCAGGAACAGGCAGGTGGGACTAGTTTAGTTTGGAATTATGTTCAGCATGGACTGGCTGGACCAACGGGTCTGTTTCCATGCTCGTTGACTCTGTGCAGATACTGAAAATCCGAAACGTGCAGAAAGTGCTGGAGGAACTCTGGTTTGGCAGTATTGATAGAGAGAGAAACAGTAAATATTTCGATTCTGACAAAGGTTCATTGGAACCTTCTGTCGAAAGGTGACTGGACTGAAAATGTTGTCTGAACTGCTGAGTGTCTCCAACACTTTGTGTTTTTTAAGCAACTTGCATTCTACTTCCTGTATCTTCAGGACATTATTAGTTAAAGTAAATAATGAAAATTACAACTGTCATCGCCATGACCATTACCCCACCCAACCTATGTTCATTCTGTAGACCACTGGCTGAATTGTAGCTACATAACCAGCTTACCGATGTTTTATGGCTTTTTTTAATCCAATCATTCATGGGATGTGGTGGCATTGGCTGGACCAGCATTTATTGCCCTCTGGGCAGTTAAGAATCAACCACTTTGCTGTGGGTCTGGAGTCACATGTAGGCTAGACCAGATTAAAAATGACAGATTTCCTTCCCAAGAAGACATTAGTGAATCAGATGGATTTTTCCTGACAACCAGCAATGGTTTCATAGTCATTGTTCAACTCTTAATTCCAGATTATTATTGAATTCGAATTCAAATTCCACCATCTGCCACAGTGGCATTCAAACCCAGGTTCCAGAATAATACCTGGATAACCATCTAGCAATAATACCATGTGGTTGTTGCCTACCCATATCAAAAGCATGCATTTATATATCTTGAATATAGTTCAAAGGAACATGATCAGACAAAAAATGCCACCAATCTGCAAATGAGGTATTAAGATTAGTGAAGAGGAGTACTGTCTCAAAGAACCAGGTTTAAGAAGTGTTTTGAATTTTGATTCCTGGAATGGCATGCAGGATGAAGGAGAGAGCAAGACACTGAAAACTTTTGGGGAAGGTAGTTCCAGAGTTCGGGACCTAAACAGGAAAGATACAACTAATGGTACTGGGTGATGAGAATTGGGGATGCAGATAAAGCAAAGAATTGAACAGTGCAGAGATATCAGGATTGTATGGTTGAAAGGTTACAGAGATGGGAAGGTGATAGATGATATTTAGTGTGTGTTATAGCCATAGTCGTATAGCCTGGAAACAGATTGTTCTGTCCAACTCTTCCATGCTGACCAAGTTTCCCAAACTAAATAGTCCCACTTGCCTGCATTTGGCCCGTATCCCTCTAAACCTTTCCTATTCGTGCACCTATCCAAGTGTTTTTTAAATGTTGTAACTGTACCTGAATCTACCACTTCCTCTGGTAGTTCATTCCACATATGAACCACTCTGTGTGGAAAAGTTGTCCTTCAGGTACCTTTTAAATCGTTTTGGTTTCAATTTAAAAGTATGCCCCCTTGTTTTGATTGCATACCTTCCCCCACCCCAGGGAAAAGATTTTGCTATTCATTCTCCCTATGCCCCACATGATTTTACAGACCTCTACAAGATTACCCCTCAACCTCCTCTATGCTTCAGTGAAGAAAGTTTCAGTCTATCCAGCTTCTTGTAACTCCTGCCCTCCAGTCCTGGCAAGATCCTGGTAAATCTTTTCTGAACCCACTCCAATTTAATAATATCCTCCTATAGCAGGGCATGGACAACAATGGTATGCAGATGGAATGTGTAAGGAAGCTTTAGAGTAGTGGAGGAAAGTTTTAAAAGTATGAATAAGGGTTTTATCTGCAGATAAGCTGAGACAGGGATTGGCACTGTTAGGTCCTTTGTGATGGAGAGGATATGAGGATGCAGGTTCAACTCTGGGTCAAATGCCTCTGAGCTTTCAGTCAATTGTCAAAACATGAGTTCACTTGGCTCTGACATTTTATCAGGCAGCTGCACGTTTCTGATTCAGGCCTTGTAAATGGATGATGTACTGTGGGGATTCAGGAATGATTTACTCACCTCAGAATTCCTGCTTTCTGACTTATTCTTGTAGCCACAGTTCAGTTTCTGGACAATGCTAACCCTTTGTATTTGATAGTGGAGGATTCAGCAATGGTAATACTGTTGAATTTTGTAGTGAGGATGTTCAATTCACTCTTGTTTGAGATGGTCATTGCCTGGCACTTGTACAGCACAAATATTGCTTGCCACTTATTAGTCCAAACTCAAGTCTTGTTACATATGGATGTCAACTTATTTAGTATCTGAGGAGTTGCAAAGTGTAGTGAACACTGTGCAATCATCATATTGTGGGGAAGAAGAAAGGTCACTGAAGATGATTGGGCCTAAAACATTACCATGAGAAACTTCTGCAGCACTGCCCTGAGATTGAGATGATTGAGATTCCACAACCACAGCAATCTTCCTTTCTTATATGACTCCAACTAATTGAGAGTTTCCCCCTTTATTCCCAATGACTTCAATTGTACTGAAGCTCCTCACACTGTACTGATCAAAATCTCACCTCAGGAATTTAGTTCCTTGCTTGAGTTAAGACCAATGTTGTCATGAAATCTGGAGCCAAGTGACTAACAAAACCAAATTAAGCACGAATGAACATTATTGGGGAATATATTTACCAGTTGATAGCACTATTGACATTACCTTCCATTACTGTCTTAATTATTGAGAGTAGACTGGCATGGGAGCAATAAGCCAGATCACATTTGTCCCTCCTTTTTATAGATGGGACTTAATTGGTTTAGTTTTTACATTGTTGACTAGATGCCAGTGTTGTAGCTGTACTGGAGCAGCTGGGTCAATAATGCAGTAAGTTCTCAGACTATCCTTGCACACCACAGCTAGATGTTAGCAGGATCCATGACATTCGCTGTATCTTTTTGATCAGTTGGTATGAATCGAGTTGGCTGAAGATTTGCATCTGGGATGATGAGGGACCCCAACAGCAGCTTGCGATTGATCATCCACATGGCACTTCTCACTGAAGATAATTATAGTTGTACAATCAGATGTAAGATGTTTTAAAGTTTTACTTTTGATTTTAATTCAAAGCTTACAGATTTCTTATGTTTTCCAGGGCACATGTCACAGTCACAGATCTTGAAGACATGCAGGAGTTACTTAACATAAACATCAGTGATAACAAGCACTTGGTTACTGGTTCTATTGAAGCCAAGGTACTTAAATGGTTTGTACTTGTTTAACTTTAAAATAAAGTAATTGTTCATCATCCTCTGCATGCCAGATGTTTAATCAAGCTTGTAAAGGGGGAGCATTAAATGGAAGAGGCGAAACTATCATAGGGATTGTCAAGGATATTTAATATTTCTCTTGAAACTTTGTGATTGTTCTGCTTTTCCATGAAGATTCAGAAATGCTTCCCCTAGATCACTTCCATTTACTCCTTTTTTTTTGTCAGTGCAGGAATATCTTTAGATGAACAATTAATCTGTACTTTAGTTCCAAGGTATAATTTCTGCCTACTGACACCAGATGGCATTGACGACTTTAGTTTCAAGAAGAGGAACTTTTCAGGCAGTTCTTCCAGTCTTATCAGCTAATCGAGGTGAGAGAGAGAAACTTGACCCGAAATAATTTTATTTTTCTTAGGTTTTGCTCATCTCATTCTCTTTGTTGCTCTGAAAATTAACTTTTTTTAATCACGTGGATACTAAAGAAGGGATAAATCATGATTTGTGTTAATAGTTTTAATACTTGAACAGTTAGGGAACAAAATGAATTTTGAAGCTTTTGTGGATGGGTTATGGGCTCAGGAGGTACATACACTAATACTTGGTATTTATCTAAATATGATTCGTGAAACTTTGTTCAGATTTATTGTTCTTAGATGCTGGTCTGAGAGCCTAGTAAGCCCACCTACACTTTCTTAAACTCTTTCTATACAGGACTCCAAATATAAAGAATACATTTGGACTAGGAATATTATCTAGAAGCAGTCTTCCGGTCAGGTCCTTTTTGATATAGTGTTTGACCAGGCAATCAGAATCTGTTTGTTTCAGAAATTTTATTGTGAATGTGTATGGAGGTTCAGGAGAAGAATTAATTTAAACTTAAAGCACTCTAACTGTCACAAAGAATTTCCCAATTAATAACTTTTGAAAAGTCATCCTTGTTCATGGGTAAATATGTAGTTTGCATCAGTGAAAATCCCACCGTAGGAAAGTAAATAAATGTGGGTTTTGGTGATTTAGGATGGACAGTCAGAAGGAGAAAGCCTTGCTTTAAAGATAAAGCATTCTGTTAACTATTGTCTGAAACATAATGTAATGTTCCATTTGAAAAATTGCATAACCAACAATGTAACTATTCTTCATATGGCACTGAGGCTTGGATCATGTAATCAAGTCTTAAACCTGGTATGAAAGCACAACATTTTTTGCTGAACTGCGCGCTACCAGCTGACCAAAGCTAATATCAAATGTGCTAAACTGTTTTGATTCTATTGACATTCAAAAACTGGATGCAGAAAAGGAGTTAGGATCAAAATGGTTCTCAAGGACTTTGAGTTTGTTTAGTTTGTATCATTGATCTTTGATAATGGAATTGTTTGTATATAATTACAATTGGTTATGCAAAAATGTAGAAGATTAGTGTGTAAATCTGACTATTTTGTTAAAATGGAGGGGATGCCTGTTGTATAGACATTATTGAACTAGGGGTATAAATAGTTACCATTTTATAGAGTGCCTAATGGCTACTTTCTTTATTTATATCTCTGCAGTTACACTCCCACTTCTGAATCAGTGTGTTTTGTGATTTGGATGTGAAAAAATGGCAACATAGTATTGGGTGACATGCCAATCCTAGATTGAACTGTGAGCCATTTTTTATCCATTCATAGAATGTGCGTGTTGCTTACTAGGCCTTCATATACTGCTAATCCCAAGGTGTCCCGGGAAGGTGGTTGTGAGTTCCCTTCCGAAAAAGCTGCAGTCCTTAAGTTGCGCGAAAGGGGAGGACATTTCATCACACTTCTGACTTGTGGCTTGTAAGTGGTGGAAAGCCACACCCCCATGTTGATAGTAGGAATTCAGCGATGGTGATACCTATGAACATCAAGGTGTGATGGTTAGATTCTGTTGTTAGAGGGGGTTATTGCCTGGCATTTGCATGATGTGAATGTTACTTACCTCTTATCAGTCCAAGTCTGATGTTGTCCAAGTCTTGGCGCAATTGTGGCGTCTCACATGGTGATAAAGATTGTGTCATCATCGGTGAACTTCCCCCACTTCTAATTTCAAGATGGCGTGAAGGTCATTGATGAAGCAGCTAAAGATGATTGGGACCTGGGACACTATCCTAAGAAAATAAGGGCTCTTGTGGCACAATAGTGTCCTTACCACTGGACCAGGAGATCTGGGTTCAAGTCCCACCTGCTTCAGAAGTGTTTAGTAACATCTCTGAACAGGTTGATTAGAGAATATCTATCCTAAGGAACTAGGGCCGTTGTGGTGGTGTCCCTATTTTGAGCCAGGAAGTCTGGGTTGAAGTTCCACTTTTCCAAAGGTGTGTTTTAACATATCTGAATAGGTTGATTACAGAATATCTGTCCTGAGGAACTTGAGCAGTGATGTCCTTGGATTGAAATGATTGACATACAAAAACCACAACTGTCTTCTTTGTGCTAGGTATGACTCCAACGAATGGAGAGTTTACTCCCGATTCCCATTGATTTCAATTTTGATAGGACTCCCTGATGTCATATTGTGCTTGATAAAATGCTGCCTTGATGTTAATGGTAATTGCTGTCAGTTCAACTCTTTTGTCCAAGTTTGACCAAGGCAATGATGAGGTCAGGAGCAGCGTTGCTCCCAAATTGTGCGACAGGGAAAAGCAGTTTATTCCTTTGCACATGTAGCTTGATAGCGTTGTTGATGATCCCTTCCATTGCTTTGCTGACAATTGAGAGTAGACTGGTAGAGTACTACTTGGCTGGGTTGGACTTTTTATGATTCTTGTGGAATGGGTGTATCAAGCAATTTTCCATTGTCAGGTAGATACCAATGTTGTAGCCTGATTGAAACAGCTTGGCTAGGGGATTGGCTAGCTCTGGAGTGCACATTTTCAGAATGTTGTCAGGGCCATTTCTTTTGGGAATCCAGTGCCTCTAACTCATGGAGTGAATCAAATTCACTGAAGACTGTGATGCTGGGGACCTCGTGATGAGGTTGATCTGGCTGAAGATTGATACAAGTGCTACAGATTTGTCTTCAAACGTACTATACTTTGATGCAAAAACTAGATTATTTCTGTTCTCTGTTAGTCTACTTTGGCTGTTTTTTGCTGAGGTATTGATTCTTTCAAAGCATGATATTGCTGTCACTCCTAATATTATCAGAAAGCCACTTCACTGGCACAAATCTACTTTGTTTCCTCTCGAGCAATGCAGAGCAAACAGGAAAAAGTTTAACATCCTATCTGCGCTGTTTTGGAATGAATTCACAACGCGATTTTGCATGCATATGCTGTGAACATCTGGAACTTGTTGCCAAAGAGACTGTGGATAGTACTCGGTCAATTAAAGTTGTCAAGAGTGACGTTCACTTTTGCTAGGCAACAGGATTGAGAAATTGATTTAAAGATGGGTAAATGAAGTTCTGGTACAGATCATCTAAAATCTAATTGAATGGTGGAGCAGGTTCAAAACAATAAATTACTTACTCATTTTTCTCTGTATCAGAATTGCAGCTGTAATGTCTTTCTACCAATATTTTTCAGGGGTGAAAGTGTGAAAGACCTTCCACCTGAGCCAGACTACATTCTTGTGGCGGACTGTATTTACTATGAGCAGGTATGTGTACTTGGGATTTTCCCAAACTAATGTACATTTTATAAGGAGGCTGCTCTTGAACTTTGTTTTTAGTTTGATACATGCAATAAAAATATTTTCACAGAAAAATCAAATTGTGTTCTCCTCATCACATGCAAAGAGCAGATGATGAATGTAGCTTCTGTAAATGTGATTAATTTAGTAATAGTTCTTCATGCAGCTTAAATATATCTTTGAATTTTAAATGTGAGAAATTAAAAAATGTTTCTTTATATAATGCAATGAACAAACTCTGTGCATTGATGGAACATCAAATTGTCTGTAAAGCTATTGTATGCACGTATGCATTAATCTCCATTTGTTGTTAAAATGAGAAATGCTTATTGATTAGGAAACCACTGTTTTGTCTGACTTCATTAAAGCAACCCAAAACTAAACATACTGCCGTATATCTTCCCACAATTTTGTGTTGTCCTCTGTGCTATTTATAAAGTTCAACTTTTGAACTATGTTTGCACATATGTAGTGTTTAGACTTGCACTGTCCTTTGGTTAAGATTAGGAATACAAAAATTTTGAATACTCTTGATTTTAATGGTTAAACTTAATCTTCAAAGAATTAAATGTAAAGGGGGTTTGTGAGGCAGTTGTACTGTCAAGTTCCACCTGCTACAGAGTCGTATCATAACATACCTGAAGAGATTGATAAAAATTTGGAATTGAATGTAGCAAAATTTTACAAAATGTTCACTTGTGCAGTTTTTTTGTTGGCTCGGATATCTATATTTTAAGTATAAAAAGAAAATTGAAGCATCATGCAGCATTTGTGGAGAAGAAAGATGGGGTTAGTGTTGCTGGCCAATTACTTTTTGTCAGCAGCTTCCCTTCCTTTTTCACAAATGCTGTCTGACCTTATGAGTATTTCCAGCACTGTCTGGTTATTTCACTTCTTGCTATATTTTAACCTTTCCACTGAGGATGATCTCAACAAAATCTTTGAATCCTTTGAGTCAACTGGGATTTATAAAATAAGAGTTTACACACTCCTTATTAGAGTAATAAAGCTCCATTTGGAAGCAATATTTTTAAGTCTACATGACAACAGCATAAACACTAATTTTAATTTTTCTGTTCATTCCAATTCTGCCAATTGCAATTTCATTTTTACTTGAACTTACATTATTTTTAAGTAATCCAACTTGACCTTTTTTTAAAAACTTAACTCTCCATCTTCCAGTCATTTTGAAGACGGGCAGAACTCTCAAAATTGATTTTCATTGGTTGAAACCTAACTGCAAACTTTCTTTGCTAATTGAATGTAGTGTATCTAGACTTCCAAAAAGCTTTTGACAAGGTCCCACGCGAGATCAGTAAGCAAAGTTAAAGGTCATGGTATCAGAGATAATGATGTGGATAAAGAACTGGTTGACAGACAGGAAGCAGAGAGTTGGAATAAACAGGTCCTTCTCAGAGTGGCGAGCAGTGATGAGTGGGGTACTGCAAGGCTCAGTGCTGGGACCCCAGCTATTCATAATACGCATTATATACAAAGGAACTGAATACACTATCTCCAAATTTGCAGACAGCACTAAGCTGTGTGTGCTGTGAGGAGGATGCTAAGAGGCTGCAGAGTGACTTGGACAGGCTGGCTGAGTGGGCAAATACTTGGCAAATACCATATAATGTGGATAAATGTGAAGTTATCTACATTGGTGGCAAAAACAGGAAAACAGATTATTATCCGAATGGTAGCAGTTTAGGAAAAGGGGAGGTGCAACAAGACCTGGGTATCATGGTGGAACAGTCGCTGAAGGTTGGCATGCAGATGCAGCAGGTGGTGAGGAAAGCTAATGGCATGCTGACCTTCATAGCGAGAGGATTTTAGTATAGGAGTAAGGATGTCTTGCTGCAGTTAAACAGGGCCTTGGTGAGGCCTCACCTTGAGTACTGCGTGCAGTTTTGATCTCCTAGTCTGAGAAAGGACGTCTTGCATCATTTCTATGACCCTTTGATCTTTTGCTTATAAATTCTCTGTCTGATGCTACCTCTCTCTCTGACACCTGAAGAAGGAGTGAGACTCAAAGCTTGTGTCTTCAAATAAACCTGTTGGACTATAATCTGGTGTTGTGTGACTTTTAACCCTGTCCACCCTAGTCTAATACCGGCACCTCCACATCATTGCTATTGAGGGAGTCCAGCAAAGGTTCACCAGACCTGGGATGTCAGGACTGACCTAAGAAAGATTGGATCGACTGAACTTGTACTCACTGGAATTTAGAAGAATAAGGAGGGATCTCCTAGAAACATATATAATCCTGAAGGGACTGGACTAGCTAAATGCAGGAAGAATGTTCCTGATGTTGGAGAAGTCCAGAACTATGGGGTCACAGTCTAAGAATAAGGGGTAAGCCATTCAGGACTGAGATGAGAAAGAAGTTTTCACTCAAAGTTGTGAATCTGCAGAATTCTCTACCACAGAAAGCTGTTGGGACCTGTTTGTTAGATACATTCAAGAGGGAGCTGGGGCTGGCCCTTGTGGCTAGAGGGATTAAGGGGTATGGAGAGAAAGCGGGAATGGGATCCTGAAATTGTGTGATCAGCCATTAACATGATCATATTGAATGGCAGTGCAGGGTCGAAGAGCCGAATAACCACCTCCTGCACCTAGTTTGTATGTTTCTATGTAAGCTGTATTATGTTCTGTTTATTTCTGACATTTAAAAATAACATAGTACTTTTAATCATGCATCAAATTATCTTTGTTTTCATAGGAATTTCTAACTTGAAAACCTCAAATTTTCAGTTTTGTATGAGTTTAAATTCCTATTTTAATATTTTCTCTTTAACACTTTTTTTAAAAAAAAATGCCTAAGTTGTACTCTGTGATTGTTCAGGTTTTCTGATATTGTATAAGTGTGAGTTTGAAAAAAACATAATATTTGTAATGTGCAAAACATGAACGTGTAGTTTCAACAATATACTGGTGTTGCAGTCCCTAGAGCCTCTACTGAGGACGCTGAAGGAGCTTGCAGGGAAGAATAGCTGCATCATATGTTGCTATGAAGAGAGGACAATGGGAAACAACCCTGAAATAGAGATTTGTTTTTTTAAGGTAAATTTCATGAAAATAATTATCACATTTATTGTTTCAGATTAACCTGGTTAATGCTGTAGCTTTAGTAGGAACAAACCAGCAATTAGAATTTGCTTTGAATTAGGCTTATGGAGAAAATGGTGGGACAAATGGTCTCCTTCTATGATGTGCAGCTTGCTGAGATCACTTACAAAATGTAGTAAGAAAGATAGCATTTTATTTGTATAATTGTTTGGGAGACATTTCTGTTTTAATTTGAGCTAACTTTCTTTAGTGGTTGAACCTAAGATTGATTTATGTTTGACCATATATAAAGAAATTACTTTTAGCAGTCAGGAGATGTTGTTGACTAGTGCCCATGTTATTGCTGGAGTTACTGTACTGTCTAGTAATGAAGATATCCACAGGTTTAGACTTTTGTAATTTCTCTACTCAACTGTTTTAAAAAAGAATAAAATTGAGATTATATGGTGAATCATTTTGAACTCATTCCCTTTATTTATTGATTGAAGTATGTGCAATATTAGCTTTTGACTTTTCTTGTTATGTTCAGCTTTTGCAGACTGATTTTGAAATAGAAGAGATTCCATTGGACAGGCATGATGAGGAATACAGAAGTGAAGACATTCATATTTTACACATAAAGAGGAAAGGAATTCATTGAGGTTTCTTTTTCTTGAATCTTCTTTTGTTTTCAAACACCCCCCAAAAATTCAACCACTACTACAGCAATAAATGTATACTTTTTTTTTAAAAAACATAGCTCATGAAATGACATTTAGTACGTGGATGTTACCTCTTCACAGAATGTCATTACATTATTATGTTTCAGTTGTCATCAGTATTCTCTCTAACATTTATCCTGGCTGTATGCAAGCTGTATCATTATGTTACAGATTTGTTTGAAACTGTAGTTAATTTGTATAATGATATTGTAGGAGAGAGGTGTTCATTCTCTGATTTGTTTGTAGTTCATTAACAGGTTTGTTGTCATGAGTTGTGACATGATACAGCATGTCTTAATGTTGGATTTAACCTCTGCTAAGTCTAATTGTGTGAATACTATGGAATGTTCTGACAGACCCCTGGTACTCTCCTAGACCATTGTTCTTTTGGATTTTTCTTATGCTTCTGTAAAAAGGGAATTCCAAATGTTTGTTGAGGGTCCTCCACCTTCTCCAAGATTTTCAATTCGCCAGCCCCCAACACCTCATCTTTACCATGGATATTCAGTCTCTGTACACCTCTATCCCCCATGAGGAGGACCTAAAAGCTCTCCCTTTCTTCCTGTCCCACAGGCCCAACCAGTTGCCCTCCTTCAACACCCTTGTTTGGCGGAACTAGTCCTCACCCTCAACAGTTTTTCCTTTGATTCCTCCCACTTCCGACACCAAAGGGCTGGCTATGGCCACTGGCATCGGTCCAAGCTATGCCTGCCTCTTCGTCGGATATGTGGAACAGACTCCCTTCTGCAGCTACACCAGTACCATCCCTCCCCTCTTCCTCCGCTACATTGATGATTGTATCAGTGCTGCCTCATGCTCCCACGAGGAGCTCTAATAGTTCATCCACTTCACCAACACCTTTCACCCTGACCTCAAATTCATCTGGACCATCTCTGACACCTCCCTCCCCTTCCTGGACCTCTCCATCTTCATCTCCGGCAACTGACTTAGCACTGAAATCCATTTCAAACCCACTGACTTGCACAGCTACTTCGACTACACCTCCTCTCACCTGCCCTCCTGTGATCCCATACTCCTAATTTCTCTGCCGTATCTGCTCCCACGATGAAGTGTTCCACTCCTGGAAGGACTGTAATTTCACCTCTCCTGTGATTCATAATGCCCTCAACCGCATCTCCTGCATTTCCTGCACTTCTGCCCTCAAAACCCCTCCCCCTAACAACAAAGAGGATAGAGTCCTCCTGGTCCTCACATATCACCCCACCAATCTCCAAATCTAACGCGTCATTCTCCGCCATATTCGTCACCTGCAATCAGACCCCACCACCAAAAAGATATTTCCTTCCCTAGCCGTAACTGCTGTCCATAGGAACCGCTCACTCCACGACTCCCTTGTCAGCTCCACACTCCCCACCAACCTTTCCACCACACGGGGCATAGGAAGTGCTACACCTGCCCCTGCACCTCCCCTCTCCCCTCTCCCCTCCGTTCAAGGTCCCAAACAGTTATTCCAAATCCAGCAGAGATTCACCTGTACATCTAACCTGGTCTCTTGCCTCTGTTGCTCCCGATGTGTTCTCCTCCATATCGGAGAGACCAAGCGCAGACTCAGTGACCGATTCGTAGAGAATCTGTGCTCTGTACGCTCCAGTCAACACCACCTTCCAGTTGCCAGCCATTCCAACTCCACCTCCCACTCCCTTGGCGACATGTCCATTCTTGGACCTCGTCCACTATCAAAATAAGGCCACATGTAACTTGGAGGAACAACACCTTATTATCCGCCTCAGGAGCTTACAGCCCAATGGCCTCAGCATAGAGTTCACTAGCTTCAAAATCTCCCCACCCTGGCCTCATCTTATCTTATGTCCAGCCCTCCCTCTTATCTTTGCCTCCTTGACCTGATGCAGCCTGTCCATCTTCCTCCTCACCTATCTGCTGCTACTGACCAATCTCTACAACCCCCTACCTGCATCCACCTATCACCATCCCACCTACCTTTCCCCCAGCCCCATTCCCTCCCTCTATTTATTTCTGAGCTCCCTTCCCAGTCCTGATGAAGGGTCCAGACCCAAACAATTGACTTTCCTGCACCTCCAGTGCAGTCTGACCTGCTGTGTTTCTCAGCTCCACACTTTATCAATTCAGAATGTTAGTTGGTTTTCAACAGTGATGTTGTTGATCACGTTTGAAAACTGCTGAATTAACTGTTTTGCAATGTTAATGTGTGCAATATTTTCAACACAAGTTTGAAAATGACCTGATTTTGAAGTTCTTTAATTTTGAAATTATTAAATAATTACACACCTGTATATTGCACCTTTCCTTGCTTGAGCTGTTAGACTTGCCTAAACTATAGGCTATTTTATTATAAAGTCTTAGTTACTTATTTTGAGTTTTGTATAAACATTTAAAAAATACCTTGTTATTAATTACTGTTGGCACATTCATATAGGAGAAGCCAAATGTAAAGAAAGTTAATTTTCCATCTCTGACTCTTGGTTTAAATCTGCTTACTTGAAGCCAGTAATTTTAAATTGTACAATTATCAAATGTGTACATCTGTTATGTGTCAATAGAAACAAGGCTGTACACCAAAGGTGTCACTTCAAGAATGCTTTCAAGCATGATATGCAGGCCATAAACATTGACTGCAACATGTGTTAATAGCTGATGAAAGAGAAAAATGGTGACAGATCTTGTAACTGACATGCATGATCAGAATGATCATTGGCTGCAGCAGCTTGGAAACAGGTATGTGGTGCTTGCAGCAGAGCATGCCTCTTCGGGATTGGTCTTCACAGACATCAGGAAAGGTGCTTCCCACCCCTGTTTCAAACCCCCAACCAGTTGGATTGTTCATTGCATTTCCTTCCTTTCTCATAGATGGAAAAAAGGATGTCAACAGCATATTTTCAATATAGTATGATCGAAGAACTGTAGTTGAGTTTTGATATGTACCAGTTTTCTACTTTAGGCATTAATATGAAGTAAAGCGCCTTTAAGTCAAGTCTAGTACAGCTAATTTGCAGATAGTCGCCCAAGGGTGGAATTGAACCCGGGTCTCTGGCATTGTGAGGCAGCAGTGCTAACCAGTGAGCCACCGTGCCGCCCATGTGGAGAGTCCTTGACACTGATCCAGCTTCTTCAGAGCCATCTCTCAGAGTGAACAGAACCTCTGACACGCTTGTTCAAATGTCAACTAGGGCTCCCTGATTAGACCAGATATCCCGTGAATCCAGAGATAGTAGGAACTGCCGATGCTGGAGAATCTGAGATAACAAGGTGTAGAGCTGGATGAACACAGCAGGCCAAGCAGCATCAGAGGAGCAGGAAAGCTGACGTTTCGGGTCAAGACCCTTCGGAAGACTTTTCCTACACCTTGTTATTCTATGAATCCACCTGGCTGACCTTGCTACAATCACTACATCACTGAGATGTGATACTTTCCAAGATGTCATGTTTTGAAACTATATTAAAATAAGATGCCCTCTGGATTTAAAATATACCATGGCATTTGTTGGAGAGAACTTAATTTTCTGAATAACAATTAATCCTTCAATTGTCATCTCTAAAACAGATTCTAAGGTTATTTAGTGTTGTATGTGGAATCTTGCTGAACACGTTACATTACAAAAGTAACTATACTTTGAAAGTACTTTTTGTAGGTGTGAGGCTGGAAAGCACAACAGCTGAGAAAGCATCTGAGGAGCAGGTAAGTCAACGTTTTAGGCCAAAACCCTTTGTCAGGACTTTGTTATCTGGGAAGTACTTCAAGGAGATCCATATAGACATTTGTAAATTCAGCATTCTTTTTTGTTCACTACCTGTTAAGGATCAGAGGATATTTTATATACAGATCATACTCCAAATTTAAATTGGTGAAGTAGATGAGTTTTTTTAATTATTCGTTCACAAGATGTGGACATCTCTGGCTAGGCCAGGATTTATTGCCCATCCCTAATAACCGAGAGCAGTTAAGAGCTAACCTGTAGGCCAGGCCAGGTAAGGATGGCAGTTTCCTTCCCTAAAGGGGATTAGTGAACCAGATGGGTTTTTCTGACCATCGACAATGGACTCATGGTCGTCATTAGATTCTTAATTCCAGCTATTTATTGAGTTCAAATTCCACCATCTGCAATGGTGGGGATTTGAACCAAGGTCCCCAGAACATTATCTGGGTCTCTGGATTAACAGTCCACCGATAATACAACTAGGTCATCGCCTACCCTATGAAGTTATGTTGTGGAGGAGTTATGCACAATGGACAAACAAGCTTTTGACTGCCCAATTGTTTGCTCATAGCGAACTACAATAAATAAAATTTGAATATTTAGAATATTTTCTTACAATGGAAACTTGTCTCTTGACCTTTTTGTAAAGAAGAAACTCACATTAAGCAGCTCTAAATAATCTACTGCAAATCTAGTTTAAACTGGACAAAATATGAGTTTCAAGGAAATGAATACCTCCTATATTAGGAACTGGTTTTGACTAACTCTTAGCAGAAATTTGAAGGTTGAAACAGATTGAGTCATCCTTATGCAACCTGTATTAACAATAAATGTTGAGCTAGAGTAAAAACACGTGGTTATCATAAGGCAAGTGATATTTACCCTAAGTCAGCTTTTAGATTTGGAACAAAAACGTTTCTTGTTCTGTTACAGTAAACTTCAAAGATCTAATTTATTTCTAAAGTGATAGCTCTAGGCCAATCATTGCTTGCTAATACAATTGTGTGAAACTAGAATGTTAGTAAGATAGGACTCAGAATCCAGATCTAATTAAATTGTGATTTATTTTTAATTACATTTTGTCTCTGTGTAAGTAGTTTCATGGCTTGGATCTGGCCAAGGACATTTTAGTGCCAGATTAATTGCTAAGCTGCTATTGTGAACGACTGTTTTGTTTAGAAAAAGGCTACTTGAATGTGAATAGAAGTGAGGGGACAGAAATGGATAACACAGATAGCATGATAGATATTAAAATTGCCTCCACCCCTATAATTGATTTTTATTGACTTAGTTTAGAGACTCTACTCCTAAGCAAGGTTATATATTTGGGAAAACTATCAGAAATAATTTCCATTCTGTAGCTGTTACTGTGACCAAACTTCATTTGATCTAGCCTGTTTAATTTTAAGTCTCCAAGTCATTTAAGAAACACTAATCCTCCTCAACTGGCAACTCACTGCAGCCTAGAAAGAATCTCACCATGTCACTTGTGAAAAGCATGATGTTGACGTTGAGATTGGCCTCGCCCAATTTCTAATCCAATTTCGCACCTTTCCTCATGATAGCCCATGTAATTCAGCCCCTTATAAGATTCTGCTCGTTGAATGCGAGGTTCAGTTTAACTGAACTTTTAGGCTTTCCTGTAGACGGCAGCATTTTCATCAGCCAAAATAATCTGTTTAAGATACTCCTTGAGAGGCTATTTGTCAAATGAATAATAAACTTAAAAAGAAAATGCTGCCTTAGACCATTTTTGTTTTTTTTAAAGTAACACACCTGCACATTCGTTAACCAACATTATTAATGTTACCAAACCCTAAAATGAAAACTTAGTAATTCACCGAAATCCCAACTATTAACTTCCCGGGGTGGCCATTGACTATAAACTGACCTGGATTGACAATGCAAATAATGTTGCTATAAGAGCCGGTGAATTCTATAGCAAGTAGTTCATCTTGGATTGCTCAAAGCCTATCCACCACCTACAAGGAACAAGTCAGGAGTACAACAGAATACTGCCCACTTGTTTGGATAGGTGCTGCTTTAACATCACCTCAGAAGCTCAACACTACACAGGGCAAAGCGGCCCTCTGCACTGGCAACCCATCTAATATGGTCAACATTCACTTCTTACACCACTGATGCACAATGGCAACAATGTGCCATGTCCATGAATATAAAAAATGTCGAATCAGAGGCATAAACGTGGAAGATTGCCTCATTCACCAAATCACTTCTCTGGATTATTGCCTAACTATGGAAATGGGGTCTAACTTTATTAATAAATTCAAGGAACATCTTTACAGGATTTGATTTTACAAACTAAACAGGTACCATCACCAGAGTAGAATTGTGCTTTCATTTATCATCGGTCTAGATCATTATGTAAAAAGAACATGCACAGCATTGCTTTGTGAAATGAGTGCTTATAAGACTTAAACTTCTAACACTGGAATTTTAGTACCTTCATTCTAGACAATATTTGGGGTAATACTAGGTAGAAGGTAAAGTTGTCATAGTCCTATTGACCATAGGGCTGCTTTCTCATTAAAGATAGATGGCTGGTGGTGGTTTAACTTAAGAGTTACCATGCCTTAAGCGAGGGGAGACGCTGAGAGAAAAATCCTTCATGGAACCTCAGACATTGCAGGAATTGGAATTCAGTTGCAACATTTTACTTTTAGTTGAAGACTTTTGACTTTCACTCATCAGAGCATTTTGCAAGAGTACCAATTTAAGGAGAAAACTGCCATTTATATTTCATGAGAGGAGAGTGCTGATTGGTTGACATGTGAACTCTGACAGTGGGATTACCATAGAGAATTCATCAGTTAATGACAATCAGTATTTGACTACCAGATTTTGTTTAAATGATAAACCAGGCAGATTTGTCAAGGCATTGTCCTGAGAGACAAACCAGCAAATGACTTTCATTCTCCCATTCTATTGAATGAATAGTGGTTTTCAGCTTGATTTGATATACTTGTGAATTGTCCTGTATAGTACATCCAAAAAGCTTCAAAATATCTTTTTTCAGCAATACACCATCTCTGTACTACAAAGTATTTATTTATTTACTTTTAATCTGAAAATTACACTGGTAAATAATGATGACCAATCTTCTAAAATGAGGAAAGAATGTAATACCGTAGTACTTACAACAAATTGATTAATATTGCTATATGTAAACCACTGGACTTCATAAACCATACCTCATACACTATTTTCTTCTTTCATCATGATATCCAAACAAATGAGCTTTAGACAGTATAACTTTACTTGCAACTGAAGCAGTTAAGTATGTAACAATATCAAAATGACAGCTTGTACTATTTTTAAAAAGCATTTCAATGCAATTTGCAATAAAAAAAACTCAGAACAGTCTATTCTAACTTTTTTTTAGATTTGTTCTAATAGTTAATGTACTTTCTAAAAGTGACATTGTATTTAATTGTGGCATTGGAAGAAGCAACAGCTTGTATTGTAAGTACCTTGAATGCAATCAAATATCCCTAGGCACTTCACGGAAACATTTTGAGTAAAATTTATTAATGACCTCCATAACACATTAT